ATTCGCTGATTTTCGACATTTGCTACAAGGCGCCGAATACTGCATCCCATAAGGAAATATTCCTCTCCAAAAGCAGCTGTACCTCTTCCCTATGCTCCCCAGTGTTGCCTGCGGGGCTCTTGATCGTGTTTGCGTGTTCCCTCGTCCACACGAGAAGCTGGCGCGCTGGAGTAAATACTGTATGCTCAATAAGTTTGTCTAACAAGGCTTAACTTCTTTTTCTTAATCTCTAACCTACCGAGGTCACCTGTGCCCAGATGAGAATAGAGTAATTCTTTACGTGTTCCTGCCATTTGGCGGTCGTTATGCGTCGAAGCCGGTACTGCTGTGCGCTGTTCAGCTATCGTTCCTGCTCCTTCGTTAGAACAGCTGTCGCTATGCCGTACAACATCATTGATCAAACACAGGCAAGCTACATCCGGATTTTCGTGGCAAGCGTAACTCCTTACTCAGCCCAAATATTGGATGGGTATCTGAAAGCGCTCGACGCCACGGCGATCCTCCTATTTAACTCCGTCTGGATTAAGCCGTCACCAAAAATGATGGAGCCCAGATATTTAAACCTGGTCAACCTCCAAAAGGACTTCACCTCTCTGTACTATTTGTTGATCAGCTGTGCCTGATGGGTTCGTCATAACCTGTGACTTCCGGACCTTAAGGAAATGGCCGGCTTTCGCAGCTGTACTGCATGCTAAACCCGTCTGGTGACAGAGCCCTTTGCCCGCATTACTCACTAGGGCAATATCTTCTGCATACTCCAGGTAAGTAAGATGTCGTGTCAGTTTTGTTGAACTGCGCTTTCCCTCTAGAATGAAACCTTCATATCTGCCAGGGTCAGCATTGCCTCATAGATAAAGGGCGAAAACAGTTTTCAGTAGCACAGGCTAAAAGCACGTCTACCTGGCAAACTCCGCGGTAGGGAACCACTCAGATACCTCTTCTCCAACCTTGATAGCAGACATGGTTTACTGCATACATCTCCTCCAGAATAGAAACCATGTGCTTAGGTATCGCATAGCATTTCGAGGTTTTCCATATCGTCGGGTGATATAGTGAATCAAATGCAGCCTCAGAATCAAGGAAGCTGGCAAATCAAATCAGTTTGAATCGTCGGCATTTCTCAGTGATCCTACACAAAGTGAAAATTTGGTCGGGGCACGAGTACTCCATCCTGCAGCTTGCTTCATTTTGGTTGTCTTCTCTCAGCCGCCTGCTTCAACCGTTCTAGAACAGTCCAAGCGAGCAGTTTGCCATGAATAGACGGATATTTTGAACTTGTGTCAAATTGTCTAAAAATATCGGCCCTTAACACGTTGGTAACAAAAAGGCGTTGCTTGGCCAATAAAATGATGCGAAACGTGTCTATTAATTTAATTTCGTATAATACCTTACAGCCGTCTGCTGAAAATGGCTTTCTAGTTATTTAGGAATTAGAGAATGGGTTTGTTGCACTTAGAAAACCAATTTACTAAAGCTATGCGTTTTTTAACATGCTCCCGCTGTACTGTCTCCGGTTTAGGATAGCATTATATTATCATCGTGTCACGTGGCACTGTTTTCTGTGTAATTTTTTGAGCTGATAAATATACCTGAATCAATTTATTCAGGCTCACTGTTCAAATCCCTGCTTGATCACTCGCGTTTAATTCTGTCAGTGTGGTAATGTTAGTACTACAATGTAGAAAGAAAGCCGAGGAGTATACTTTTTAATGGCCACCTAGCCATAGATGTTACTTATAGCGATCGTGGTTACTAGAGTCTTACCAGGGACTACTGCAACACCATACGCTGTATAAAAAGGTTACAGATTTTCCTTCCTTGGAATGCTCCTGACAACGCAATGCC